GGGTGTGGGTTATTCGTACATAAAGCGGAAAGGTGGGTTCTGTCCGGTTAAAAAGCGAATGTGGATTTGTCTGCACAGATTCTAAGCAGATCGGGTGGGACAGCGTCTACGCAGATTTGTCTGACCATCTGACAATTCTCTTGGCCTGGTGAGCATTTCAATTTTCCTAGGAAACTACTCCAATTCATGCGTTTCGACAACGGCGACTCACGAATGCCATGTACGCATAACCCAAGTGATAAACCTCGGAAAGCGAAAATCAAGGCACCACCGAGAGTCGAACTCGGGTCGCAGGATTCAGAGTCCTGAGTGCTAACCACTACACCATGGCGCCACGTTCCGTCGCCTCCCAATAAAATATACAGGCCAAGCCTACTCCTAATCCCATTGGCTGTGATAGCAAACTGACGATGTAGACCTATATCGCCATGTACTACATTCGACACATCACATTTACAGAAAATACCCCTCAACCACAAAAACATATTCTTTCACAAAACAACCTTACTGCGTAAATGGCTCATCCTCTGTAATGCATCCATAGTAGCTGAACTGACAGTTCGACTGTCCCGACCGACGACAACGTCCATCGTGTGCTCCACAGCAGAGTGAGAACCGGGACGGTGACTTGTGCGTGATTTCGCTTATAGTGATAGTAGACTCGTGGTGGCCTGACGAATGTCCCAAGTGCCCTAGACCGGAGCTGTAAGGCAAATTGTACGCTGTCTTCCGTCCTACAATCAGGCCAGACCGGAAACATCAACTCGTGCGTGACTTTGAATAAATATCCTGAGGGCAGTCTACGGAGCGTGTACTGATAGCTCAGGTGGTAGCGCGTCGTAAATAACAGACCTCAGACTGGGACCTCTCGCTTTCCCGGTCGAAGAGTGGAGTGTGGCTGGCTTGAGACTGTAGGCTAAAATTACGTGAATGGTCATCCCAGTCTTTTAATCGCTTACGCCTTCTACTTTCCCTTTCTCTACGCCAAATAATCTACTAGTTCAGTTCAGTTCAGTTTATTTGAGGGAAATATAGGTGTTGAACCTTTGAACTCCCTATTTGTTACAAGGAAGCGAACTATATCAAAAATTTGAAATGGAAACATCAAACAGCTACAGAGTTTCTTCAGATTGGCAAAGTTTTCGAGCCAGACAGATAAACGAATTGTTCCAAAGTTGAAAACATTAACGTTACTAAGTGTTGGTCTATGGTTAGTTGGTGCTATCTCAGTTTCTGAGGGAGACGAAGATGCCAACACACATTCAACAGACATAGGAAAATAATCAAAAACAAACATTACTGAAATACAGGCAGTAATATAACAACATTAACAAACTGTTCGAACGAAATGCTAGACGTCGATCAGGTGGCGTTATGACGTTTGGTGGTACATTGGTCCAACTTGCGCATAAAAGCCTCGACGGAGGTGGACATGACGACATCTGTAGGCGGAGCATTCTAAGCCTCGGCTACTCTGTTTGAAAAGAAGAACTTCCGCATGTCCAGCCTGGCGCCAGTCACACGTAGTTTAAGTGAATGACGTCGGAGGTTCGTTGTGGTCGCTGACTCAAAGAAATCCGCAGGTACGAGACAGCAGTCGTGGCCGCGCAGTATACGGAATGTTTGTATAAGGTTGCCTCTTAGCTGTCTGTAACTCAGTGGAAAAAGTCCGGGATTGGACAATCGTGTTTCATAGGGTAGTGAACTCTGTCCACTTGCGAGTTTGGTTGCCCGTCTTTGAACTTTCTCAAGGATGCTGAGATCTTTAGAGGTCCACGGTTTCCACGCCTGAATAGCGAACTCTAGCTGTGGCCGTACAAATGCCCCAAAGACTTTAACGAAGCAGTCCTCATCGAAGGTAGGGAAAGCTCGCTTGACAAGATAAAGGACTGACATCGCAGACTTTGCTACCTTGGAGCAGTGGAGCGACGGTTTTAGAGAAGCCGTTACCCAAACACCCAAGTGTTTCTGGGCGTCTACCTCCTGCAGTGATACGCCGTTTAGGTAGTAAACCCTCCGGCTTAGAGATCGGGTCCTGCCGACTCGCAAAACATTGCACTTAGTCACATTAAACGGCAAAAGCCGGTCCTGTGACCATTTCTTGAGTCGGGTCAGGTCTGCCTGCAAGTGCTCTTCGTCCAATTCAGTTCGGATAACGCTTCAAAGTTTAACATCATCAGCGAACATGGCGACATCACAATTCAGTTCACTGACTCAGTCGTTGACGTATATAATGGATAAGGTATGGCCAAGAACGGAGCCTTGCGGAACACCGCTTTCAACCGCTACCTCCGCCGACTGCCTGTCACCGACGTGGACGATTTGAGAGCGACCGATCAAGAAACTTTGTATCCACATCAGGAGATTACCCCTTATGTGTGTCCGGCTTAATTTGTACAGGAGACGCTGATGTGCTACACTGTCGAATGCCTTCTTAAAATCGACGTAGACTGCGTGCACTGCATTGCCGTCATCGACTGCCCGGGTCCAGCAATCTAAACAATAAAGTAGATTTGTCACGCATGATCTGCCTATACGAAATCCGCGCTGAGCATCGTATAGCAGATTATGCTCTTCTAGGAAGTGCATTATTTCTCGCTTAATTATTTTTTCGATAATTTTGCAGCAAATTGAAGTAAAGCTGATTGGTCTGTAGTTGTTTGCTAAGACCTCGCTGTCGCCTTTATAAATTGGCGTGATCCGCTCGGATTTCCAATCGTCGGGCAAGTAGCCTGCTTCGAACGAAGCTTGGAAGAGCATGGACAGCGGTTTGGATAGTTCTCCAGCAAGCTCCCTCAACAATTTCGGTGGTATGTCATCCGGCCCAGGTGATTTGGACTTATTCAGCGTCAACAGTACTTTGCGAACAATAGTTTCGGCGAAAGAGACGTGCTCAATCGTTGGCCCGTCCACTATGTCGCCGTCGGGAGGGAGAAATGTGCTCTCCTTCGTAAAGATGGACTTAAAAAATTGTGAAAGGTGCTCTGCCTTTTCTCCGTCTTCACTGAGTTCTATGTCGTCACTAGTTTTCAGTAACGGGATTGGATCTCTGTTTCGTGTGCTTCTTCTTATGTAACCATAGAATAACTTTGGATTTTCTGCGGCTCGATTCAGTAGGTCTTTCTCGAAAGTACGCCGCGTCCCGAGGATTAACCTCCTAACTAGGTTCCTCTGTGCTTTGTACGCATTTATCGACACAGATCTCCTATCCGAGAGGGATTTTCTCCACACCCTCCGCTTTTTCTTCACTTCTTTTTTAATGCTTGTGTTAGCCACGGGGGTCTGCTGTTCAGTTTCTTCCGTGAAATAGGACAGTGTTCTCTGAGAAGAACGGGCAGTAACCCACTAAACCAGTCTCAATCCTTGATTATATCACCGGAAAAAGCTAATTCCCAGTTTATGGTATTTAGTTCAGCTTTCATTTGGGCAAAGTCACCGCGTCAAATGTTCCTCCTGACCCTGGTGGCCTGTTCGGGCAGAGAAAACATGGGGTACTCCCACAACAGTACGACATGATCGCTTCGACCTAGGGGGGTGGACATTGCACCTCATCAATGCTGTCCAGTGACTTTGTAACGAGCAGATCCAGACAGTTTGACTGTTGCCCTTCGCGCACCCTCGTTGGAAAAGAGACGTGCTGAGTGAGAAATAACTTGAGGGTCATGTCCAGCAAACGTCGGTCGAAGGCATGGTCTGGACCAGATGCATAAGCTGAACTCCAGTCGATAAGAGATTCGTTGAAGTCACCCACAATTAAGACGTCGGACCGGATAGAGAATCTCTCCAGGTCCTCAATCCGACGGGCGTCCGCCGTGGGATCATTTCTCGGCGGTCGGTAGACCGTCAGGACGTCAATGCTCGGTGAACCCGGTGCTTTTATAGTCAGCCAAATTGCCTCAGAAGTACACGAAAGTTTATCTGTTTTGTCTGAGACTATAGGCCCGTGTTTTACATGCGTGAGTACACCTCCGACCTGACGTCCTGTCCTGTCTCTTCTAAACAACTGGTATCCTGGTATAGTTAACTCACGGTTGTCCACCTGCTGGTTCAGCCATGTTTCTGTAAGTGAGATTATAGCCGGGGATAGATCAGATAGATGGATCTTTAGCTCGTCAACTTTCGATAACATGCTCTGCACATTTGTATACAGAAGTTTCAGTTTACGATTTATGGCTGACAGAGAAGTAATTTCGATGCGTCTAGGACTTTCGCCTACTATGCCAGTTGCGCGGTCATCCGGATCGCGCCCGTCCAAAGAAAGAATGATGGGCGCTGTCTGATTTGGTTGTTGTAGATAACCAAATTCCGTCCTCCATCGCTGAGTCACTTCCTCAGCTCTAGGACTAGAAGACGACGTTTCAGCCTCTCTGCTGGCGAGTAATCCGGCTGAAAAAAACGCCGGGGTTGGTGCCTTTTACTCTAAAGCTCCGAGATAGAATCAACCCAGCTTGCTCTTTACAATCCAGCACAACTTTGAGAGGTCGGGGCCGTGTTGGTGTTTGCAGATTTTTTGTCCGTTTTCCAAGACGAAAGGCTTTGAGTACCTCTATTGCCTCAGTGGGTTCATCAAGTTCATCAGGGTTCATCAGTGGGTTGATCAAGGTCGAGGTACGCTGTGGGCGAAACGTGAAGTGTGTTGTATCATCTAGATGTAAATGTTATTCATTTAGGTTCTTAAACTTGTTAAATATTTGTTTGCAACTACCGTACGCGGTGTCGATTACAGGAAGGGTAATCGTCGAGTCCGTGTGTGGTGGAATGCGGGAAAACTGCGTTCGCGTACAGTGAGCGACCGATCTCATGAAATGTTAGCCTAAATTCTGAAATGCGTTTTCGATTTGGAAGGCCTACTTACGTGGGATTGAAGTATTAATTATCACGCGGCATAATCCCATTATTTTTCGGATTTGCCGGAGTGTTGGCTTTGGATTCACTTCTTCGTGACCTCCTGTAAGGACCGCATTCAGTAAAAAATGACTACTTACACAGCCTGCATTTCTCACACTGGTTAGTGATGGCCTTGTAATTCCAAATATATTTTATAGAAAACATGCACAAAAATGTTCTTTCTCCTAACCTTTTGGTTGCAAATCATGTTGCCTTCACATTCTACACTCGAGGAAATAATAACTTTCGGTTTTGAAGAAGTTTCTAATTATGAGATTCCTAAGACCGCAATGTCCATTCATGCAGCATCGTACCTGTCCGTCTACTACTGCAAAATGTTATTAACTCTACATGGTATCTTCTTAAAGGTGTAGAGAAATACATGATTTTCCTTACGCGGAATGTATATACCTTGTAGGCTTAAACCGCCGAACTCTAATGCAATGACTGGTCTGGCTCAAAATTTTTCGGAACTCGGAAAAGTTTTAAAAACCTAAATATACCCTTTCTTCGAGCACAAGATTTGAAGACGTGGTTTCCTGCAAATGAATGAAAGTTAGCAGATTTCTATGCATATTTTCTATAAATCATATTTGAATTTATAAGACCACCGAAAATCAGTGCGAAAACGTATACTACTTAATAAGCCCTTTTAACAGAGTGCGGTTTTTACAGCAGGTCGGAAAGAAGCGCATTTGATTGCCAACATACTGGTGAGTCCAAAATATTATAGGATTAGGCCGCGTGATAATTAATATTACAGTCCCACCTAAGTAATCCTTCCTAATCGGAAACACATTTTAGAATTTCGGCTAGCACTTAATAAGATAGGCCATTGGCCGTATTTTTTTCAGGGACTGGGTGAGCAGGTCTCTGGTCGAAACTTAGGAAGGGGACTTTCGCAACTCTAGTAATAAATCTAAGTACTTTCCCCGCTGGTACGGTCAGAAGGAGGACATGATCTATGTGGGTCGGGTGAAATCTGAAGTTTTCAACAAAACGCCCACACATTAGCTCACGTTTCAACCCCCTGTGGAGATAATGTCCAAGCCCTCCTCTGCAAACTCGTCAGTGCCCCTCAGCCTCACCCGTCAGACACCACTACAGTTCAGACTACCAGAGTTGGTCAGAAAATTAATTTCCATGACAGTAGACTGCGTCACCTTTCCGGACGTTAGCGCTGCCCTCCAGTGGCGGTTAACGGCAGTCCTCCCACTTTCTTAATCTTAACGGTCAGGTGCTTCTGAATGAGACTTTCGTTGGTTGTAATCCAGACCAAAATAGGCCGCTTTTCCGAATCAGAGAGAAGGCATTATCAATGTAACCGTCCAGCTGGAATGGCGTGGACATAGAGTACCCTGCTCCTCTCAACGCTAGCCTAAACTGCGTCGCTTTCCCATTTCCCGTAGTCTGCCCTAACCACTGTTTCAACGTTTTTAGAGACGTATCAAAATCTTCCTGGACTTGCAGGCCTTTTTTGACCAATCACAGTCAAAGTTCACGAAAGTTGTTCCCTGATTTCATAATAATCTCGCCGATCTCTACGCCCCTCAGCCGCCAGACTGTCACACCGAATGTAGGCCCTTCGAACAGTGCCAACATTTGCGTAGTCGGCCCTAACAGCCTTAGCGCACAGGCGTCCTACGCGTGTGCACACATTAATCCCACTGCAGGCGCCATCCCCCGTTGTCTTGGCGACCACCGTATTATCAGGGCCAGAGCCAATGCAGTCAGCAAAATCGATAGTGCACCAACGCCTATGCACGCTGGCCCGAACTCGCAACAGGAGTTCAGTACAAGCCTGACCGACTGGCCTGACTTACGCTCTGACATCCCTTCAGGTGGCTGCTACCTGCAACCGGCGATTGCAAGAGGAGTAGGTCCATCCTAGTGCTGGCCATCTGACTTTTGCGGTTTACCAGTACGCAGTATCATCGTGTGCCGCCGCAGATATGCAGTGCGTTCAAGAAAAAAAAATGCATGCTACTTGTCAGTAAATACTGTTTACGGCAAGTTGTTCAAACGGCTTGAAGTAGTTCAGGCCACCAGAATAGGGAGTATAATTGATAGGGGCTCGTGCACAAAGTGTGTAGTATTAGCTATAACTAAGAATAATATTGTACGACACTTACGATTAGGTCAGACAGGTGGGCTTTGAATATGCTCCTGCGTATGGTCATTTGTTCATATGCTGTTCTCCTAAAGGACGGGACCATATTATATGCTTTCGCTTTCAGCAAACTATAAGCTCGTAGCCATCACGGTATTAGAAAACCACTTGCCGCTCACGAAATTCTCAGCCACTTCCCCGATGTCTCCTGGCGATCCCATCTAGAGCATGAATTGATGGTTCGCATTTGATGAGACCCAAGGTCAGCGACATTACAGCTAAGATTTGAAACGACGGGGGTATTAGAAAATAAGTGAAGTTTGCTTGGCATAGAAATGAAGTGGGAATCTAATTTATTTCCTCTCCAATATATGGAGATATTCAAGGCTACCTTAACAACCGAACTGTCATCGGCTGGACAAGGGAATAAGTGTCCCCCGTACTGCTGATGGTCTTGCGCCATTCCCGTGCTCCAAATTAAGCCCTAAACTTCATAACCATAACCGCAACGTTAATCCAAACTCTCTACAATCTAGCTCAAGGTCACATGTAATATAGGGGGTACTTATTCCCTTGCCTTATTCCAAAACCAAGGGGACCTGTTAGACAGTCGAAATTAGTTATTCACCCGACTATTCCGACAAGCGGGATCAGTATGTGGCTGCGCCATTTAATTCGGGTTGATTTCGGCTTCAAACTGCGCTTTGTCTCAAAACTTGTAGTCCAAGGGTCTTTATTAGGCGGCTTAGGGCCGAAATTACGGGAAAACTGAAGTCCAGGAAGGACTTCTCTCAAAGATGAAGAAACACCATGTATCAAAAGGCTGATTTGTAGCGCCTCAAGCGCACATAAACCTTCCGCCTCAGGAACCTACGCTGCTCTGGGAATCTTGGGATCACGGCGCCTTAGCGGCCAGGATATGCGCACATGCAGTCGCTGGGACAGCCAATAACAGGCCACACAAACTACACAATGGCCCAATTAACTGACCAAGCTGACTGATTAAGCCTCACATGGCGCGTATTCATTCACGCCCACGCCACCTCAGTGGACGGACGCACTCACAGGCCCAGTGCTAGTCGTAGGTCGGGGCCTTTGACCACCAACAAGCTTCTGTACAGAGCACACGACTTCTATTGGTGTCTTTCGCTTTCTCTAAACGAGACTGGACTACGATTATTGTGGAGCTCCGAGTACTTCGAAGCCACGGATCCACCGTGCTTAGACTCCTGACCGGCTCTTGAGTGCAGCCCCAGAAATATGCAGAAGATGCTATGATGGGAGCCCAAGCGTTTTTATAAGAAATGCGTTTATTTATAACAAAGCAAGTAACTGAAGCGGGAAACTAGCCAATCCGCGCCTTCCCGCATCAGTGTCGTCACGCGCAGACAGCGCGGAAGTAATATGCTAGTTACCTTACCTGCATTCTTTTCTTTGTTGCTTCCGCTCATATACGAGGCCAGATTGAGGTACTACTACTGTGCTAGACTTCTCATCCTTATCTCCGACGTGTCCGGTTGCTATAGACACTGAACCTGGATGAACTTATTTGGACGATAGCTACAAACAGAAAAACCATTGCGGTGTGAATTGAACTGATACTCCCTACTGATGACTGGTAACCCTACCAAAACGATGTTTAGTCGTGGAGCCAGTATGCTCAACGACCAGCAAGAATGAAATCCGCGACCTGTTTCCTGGGTTGTCCGTATTCCCAAATAATTAGGGTTGCCTCTCGATATCCAAGACGAGGTCATGGAAATGCTTAGTCAAAACAGAAGTTCGACCGCCGTTAGTGACGATGTCCGCCGTGTGCTCCACAGCAAGACGAGAGCAGGCACGGTGTCTTGTGCGTGAATTTGTTTATAGTGATAGCAGACTCCCGCGGCATCTATCGCACTCCCGCCTCCTCCCCCACCTGGGCCCGGTGTCAAGACAGAATCAAGATTGGAGGCGGGGGTACACAGGTAGAGGGCACGGTCCAACCTGCACCTTGGCACCTCACTCCACACCCCTGGTCCACACAGCAAATGACCAGGGTTTTAGTCAACAACAACAATGGGGAGGACCGCAGGGGTCCCAATGTGCGCGACGTCTGCCGGCAACTGGGTCTGCCACCGCAACCCTATGTGTTGGGATTTGTTATAGTGCGCATTCCGATAAAGCCTACCAGAATCCGATATGTCCCCCCCCGAGTTGATCCAGCGCATCTACCACGTGGCCTGTTTGGGGGACACAGTCAGAACCAGTGGTATGCACCTTACCAGACTTGGTAAATCTTTATCAGCATCCAGAAATCCTTTGATAGCCAGAGTCAATCCTCTGCTGTAATCTCTCCCTGTTAAGAGACGCCGGAGTAAAGCCAGTTTTCGTTGTTGATAACGTCAAATCATAATCAACCTTCTTTAAAGGAATAATAAATAATCACCGACTCCAGCGGAAACCCCACTGGCCGCCCTCGTACTCCTCACGTGGAAGACGCTCACAGGCAGTACAGTGGACGGTTAGACAAATAAACAGAGGCAGTATCAGTGTCAGCAGTGAGTGGAATGCGTTAGGAGGGGTGCAGAGGGTTAGAAAAGAAACAGCAATAGTAAACGGATTGAAAGAAGCCCAGGAGCAGGGGTTTTTAGCCTCAGGCTTCACCTAGTAAGGAGGATAGTAGGATAGACTGTCATAGGCGTAGGGCGCAGCGCTGGCGTAATATTGGTATGCGGCCTCTGGGCTGGCAGCCGACATATCGAACTGATTATAGTTTGACGGACAGAACACGGGTTGTGGCAAGTATATGGGGTAGAAACAGGGAGTAGTCGAGGGCTGACATGCGCCATCAATCGGCAGTGTGCCTCCTGTAGGTTGTTGTTCCTCCTGTTGCCGCTGGTGTCTGGTTGAGTCACGTGAATGGGCGCGCCTTCTTCGGTGTCTGTGCTCACAGTCACGTAGGATGGCAATGAGGTCCCCAAGCCGCCGTGATCCACAGTCCGTGTTCTCGTCAGAGGAGTCAGAATAGTCGTGCGCACCGTCCTCGTCGCTCGCTGCCCTCCGCCGGCGGGGAGGGGGGCCGCGACCCCAGCGACCCCTTCGGGCGCGACAGGGCCGGCAACGCCGCCGCGGCATAGGTGGGGGCTCCGGAGGAACGCCGGTAATACGAATTTGCTCACGTTTCAGTTGGGAAGCCCTTGCGTCTCTTGCGTTGTCGTGTTTGATAACCATCTCAAAGGCTTTCAGCCAGTCAGAGTTCTCGGCTGGTCTATTGCGACTTTTTCCATCAGAAAATTCCTCCATTATAAGGTCTTTCACAATTTTAAAGAGCATCATGTTAAATTCCTGGTCAACACCCTTGGGCACGTTCTTCGTGGACTTTTCTTGAACGGAGGCGCTTCGGTAATTGCTGGGCATGGAACCCGCAGTTTTGGAGCGTGACTGGCGATGAAATATGCGTTTCATTAGTGAAGGACGACCGGATCCTTCAAAATAAAGGGAGTTCTCGCCAACGGGTTGTTTATTTGAGATAACCGATGCTTTTGCCGTAGGAATACTCGTCCCCGCCTTGACCAGAGACCGACCGCCATCGGAAATCTTGGTGGAACGATTGCTTTGCATGAGCTGTAAGGCAGGGCTTGAAGGAGTAGACGACCGTGCATTCAAGTTGTTGCCTAAGGTTCCAAAAGAAACTTTTCCGCTCCCTGTGCTCATAACAGAAGGATTCTTTTTAACGGACGAGGACCTGAGACGCCCGAAAAAACTGCCTGATGAACGCATATGAGGTGTGTCACCCTCATCGGCAGACGATAGATACGCAACAGCTGCGTTCGGAGTGCTACTTCCGATGCGAGAATTGCGTCCCGTTCCATTTTCGTCAATTCCACCAAACCCTCCTGACATCTTGGACATATGGGATGCTATACTTTGACGAGGTGTTTCGTGCACGCTCCTCAAGTTGTTACCAAAGCTTACTGTTGAACGTTTTCCGCTCCTTTCAGTCACAAAAGAGGGGCTCTTTTTAACGGTTGAGGAGCGAAAACGCCCAAAGAAACTCCCTGCGGAACGCACTGGTGGTGATTCATGTGCGTCCGGCGACGAGTAGTACGCACTCGGTGAGGTCGGTCTGCTACTTCCAGCACGTGAAACACGTCCCATACTGAATTCTTCCGTCTCACCGTAAATTTCCGGTACCGTGGACCTGCGAAGTCCTGCGTTCAGGCTCGGGGTTCCTTTTCCGCTCCTTCTACTCTCATTGTCCGGTCTGGTAAAGTTATCCTCTCTATCTGAGACTTCATCTGTATTTTCTACGCTTGGGGTCAAAACATTTTCATCGGTGCATTCACAATCACTTTCCAGCACTTCTTTTCTTGTTCGCCTTCTCTTGACTTTTTGACCCTCTCTCTCCTCATCTGAATCCGATTTTTTTGCTTTGCTGGTTACCATACCTTTCCATCTGTCCTTCCAAGTCTTCTGTTGTTTACCCGCTTGTTTCGATTTGCCTCCCTTCTTCTTGATTTTCTTCCTTTTCTTCCTTGTTTTTTTTCGTCTGGCACTTGATTTAGAGGTTTGTTCAGAACTCGAGGACTCAGTATCTCTTCCAGTCGTTTCCATGTTTTCTGTTTCGTTTTCGTAAGAACTGTCTTCTGTTTCCTCCACTTCATCATCTTCAATGTCTTCATCGGTCGCAGCTTCTCGCAGTTTGGCCTTCATTTTATCCCGTAAAGTATTTTTAGTCTTTTTCTTTCCCGATTTCCCCGCCTTTTTGCCAGCCTTTTTTCCGGCTTTCTTCCCAAACTTCTTTCCCGCTTTCTTCCCGGCCTTTTTTGCTGCCTTTTTGCCTGCCTTCTTCGCTGCTGATTTTCCAGCCTTTTTCGCTGCCGATTTGCCGACTTTCTTTCCTGCCTTTTTTGCTGCGGCCTTGCCGGCCTTTTTAGCCGCCACCTTGGCACCCTTCTTGGCACCCATAGAAGCAATCTTGGCGAGGATGGTAGCCATTTTGCTCTTATTTCACGGCATGGATTCACTCTATTTGGTTACCTGGTCTTCTTGCCCTTGCCTAGCCATGAGGCTTCGCACGTACATGATCGCGTCCAGTCCAAGGTCAGTCACTCCGCGTGGAAGATATCGATCGAAGGCGTTTTATTTCCGAGGCTGGAATGATGGGAGACCGAGTATCAGCCAAAAGTTCAATCATTTTTTTCGGAAAACAGCTACAGGCTGCGCTTTACCGAACAGGATGTGTCATAACAGCTGGAGAAGATTCTAACGAAGTCAGCTAAGTTTAGGGCCATTTCGAGTAATATTGTGCACTGGTCAGCATTTCTCATCCTAATTTGTTATTCAACTGGATTTTCGGGAGCAGTTTCTGTGGATGACGAGTAGGAAGGGACAGTCTCTAAAGATCTTGACTACCGCCAAGTAAGCCCTCGTTTGGATACATAATCGAAACAATGATATGAGTTACAAAAATTTCCGTAATTGGCGAGCATACGTTTGTTTTGGATAAATTTTCGCCAGGCTACTGCATTTATGTGGGAACCCCGTTACTGCGGGGATCTGCAGGGCTATGGAATCCAAACTAATAGGGGGAGTGGTGAGCTGGCGCAAATAGAAAGCCATTGGAGAAAGCTGCTAATTGCTGTGCAACCGGCCACAGCAGGCATAAGTTGTTCAACGAGTATGTCTACTTAAAATGGGGAGAATCGAAAATCTGAAAAATTAACAAGGAACCAAAAATGAATGCGAGCGCCCACAGGCAAACTTTTCTCGAACAGAGCGAAAGTTAGGAGGAAAGAAGAATTTAATGATACCACCAGGCTGTCAGATTTCTCATTCATTTATGTACGGTCGTCACCTTGTTGGAAGACTACGTGCATGGTACGTCGGAATTGCATAAAGCATTCGAACATGATAAGGTAACGAGACCGTTAATACAGTAATGGCGCAGGGTCCGATTGAAAGATGGAGAGGGAGAGGTCGAGAGAAAAAAAACCAAAAACGCCTGCTGACTGCCGGGTCGGAACGCAGTGTATGCCATGACTTGGGTGTTTTTAGACTCTAAAATCCTCATCCCCCCTCTGTATTTCTGTGACCCCAGAATAGCATAAAAGACACTTTCTTGTATATGAGAACATTTAAACGTCGGGGTGCCATGAAACTGGTTTTCTCGACACCTTGTTTCCGACTTCTAACAAACACTTTGACAGTTGCTCAGCCAACTAAGCCATGCTCCTCTTAGCTTAATTTTTGCTCACCCGAGTCAAATTCAGGTCGTCTTGACAGTGCGGAGGAGTAGACACGATCGCTGGGACAAGTGTTTTATCAGCCCGACGTTTCGGAATTTCACTCGAATCCATCATCAGAGACAGAGTCAGATAAGGGTAATGGATTGCCCAGGCGTTGCAATATTTATTGGATGTAGTTGCTAGGCCGCTACATGCCTATCACAGTTGGCAGCTCCCGAGCGCATCTCACAGCTCGACTGGCCAGGCGTTGAAGTGCGCCGTTGCCATGCCGTTGCTATGCTCTTGTATGCCGGTCAAAATTATCGGCTCCCATGCTCATCGCACGCCACCAAGTTATTGACTGCCCGTTTTCGTCAACCGTGTGGACTCTTGGGTGAGTTGGCTCGCCGACATTGGTATCGGGGACAGCGGCTATCTGCACTTTCTCCTCGCAGCTAACTACCTTGCCTAAGTTGCAGCGCCGAATATGGAATCGTTGTGCTTGTTGATTTAATGAGGACCGGAAAGCCATGACTCGAGCACTTCGCGACTCACGCGGCTGTCGCCTCTAGTAAGAATTTTGCTTTGTAAAACTTGAATGTGTGACACTGTCTTGCCACCGGAGCCTTGTGGGTGATGGAAAAGAGAGTGTGGTTGATGCTGTGCAGGTTTGCATCACCAAAAACAAATCCACACGCAAGTCCCCGCTACTATGCCCATTCCGTGATTCGCACGGTGACTTCGTCGTTCAGGGCGGTCGAACTGTCATAAGTCACTTTTCCTCGGCACGTATTGGTAGGACTAACCAGGCGGCTTGCCGAGGAACGTTGCAATGGTAGACTAAGGCCGCTAAAGTAGATGGCCTGACCACCACTCTCCGAATGCATGGCAGATTAAAGTGATCATGCAACTCCTATCACACGAGCAAATAATATTAAGTGCGGA